TCCTATCTTGTTAGGCAGCTAAAAGCAAAATCCAGACCCTTCTTCACACTAACACAGCAAGAAAGAAGTTTATTTCTCCCCTAGTAAATTTTAGAATCTCTGTGAAATGAAGTAGCTTCAAGCAGCATGCTCTTTCCCCTCCGCAAAACACATCGTCTACTGCTCACTCCACACACTTTACCTCGGATAGTGCAGGCTCAGGTGTTTGGTTCTCTGAAGTGTCTGGAATCCAGGCCATAAATAAAGCCTGGACCCAAAGTGGTAACTAGGAGGATGGGTCAGACTCTAAGCCAGGGATATCAGCACCCTTGTTCCTCCGGTTAGCCTCAAACCTTCAATTCTCAAATGTTCACACTGCACAGACTTACATATCCCATTTCAGTTCACCAAGTTTGGCTCCAGCTGAATTTATGGAACCAGAGTGGCCTTCTCACATTATAAAAACACCCAGCCCTTTAAGTGGGACATGTGACTAAAAATACAGAAGCTGTCACACTGGTTTCTGCTTTGTGTAGTCACCATCACAGGATAAGCAATGACAACATATCCCATCATTCAAGATAAGGAAGAAGATGGAATTCTCTCCACATGGAAACCAACCAAGAATTAATTCCCCAGACAAATGTTCATAAATAACCAATTAGTCCTAAGACTCCCTCCCAGAAGACTCTCTTCAAAGGTCACCTAGAATAAAGATGGCTCATAGTTGGAATATCTTGGTTTTTTACCAGTTGTAAAACCATTAGATACTAATTCAGCTTTCTCCTTGACAAGGCTGCTCCTGAGTCAGGCTTCCCCAAATCTCCCTGCTCACTAGGGGTAAAGAGAAAACAACTATGACTCAAATCGTTCTCTACAGTTTTCAGAGTTCATGAAGGCAACACTATGCATTGTCTCTCGACAAAACAAAGCAAAGAAATGTAATAAAACCAAACAAACCCACAATCCTGATCTGGTTGCCCAATGAAGACTTCTAGAGCTCTGTGAGAACAGGACATGCCCAATATTGTTACTTCCCAGATTTAAACACATTCCCACCAAATGGAAGCCCCTCTCTGTTCTTCCTAAGGGTGCATCCAGGAGCATCACCATTTCATCTCTCCTGATGCTTTTCGGTCTCTGTGGCCCATCCTGGTCTCCCTCACTTTGGCTGACACCCAGTCCACAGTGCTTTGAAGGGAATGCCGTCATCAAGAGACAGCTATTCAAGGCCTTGGCTTACAAACAAGTGCTCTCTAGGCTCCCTCAAATTCTTGGCGGAGGGGGAGTTGCAGGGGCACCATGGCAACCTTCCTAGGGGAGGTTTTAAAGTGTCTGATATTCAGAGTAGGAAATACTCTGGAGTTAGTAGGTATAGGTAAGAACTTTCTCAATGAAACCCCAGCAGCACAGCAACTAAGATATAGCATAGATAAATGGGATCTCATAAAGCTAAAAAGTTCTGTTCTAAAAGAAATGGTCTCTAAACTGAAGAGACCCACCACAGAGTGGGAGAAAAATATTTGCAACTATAACATTGAAGAACAAAGAACTGGATAACCAGAATAATATACGGGAACTTAGAAAACTAAATTCTCCCCAAAAGTAATGAACAATAAAGAAATGGGCCATGTGAACTAAGAACAGAATTTCTCAAAAGAAGAAATTCAAATGGCCAAAAACACATGAAAAATGCTCACATCTCTAGCAATAAAGGAAATGCAAATTAAAAACACAATAAGATTCCACCTCCACCATTAGAATAGCCATCATCAGCAAACCACCACCGAACAGGTGTTGGCGAGGATGCGGGGAAAAGGAACCTCTTACACTGTTGGTGGGAAGTAGACTAGTACACCACTGGAAAAAAATTTGGAGGCTACTTAAAAAGCTAGACATTGATTACCATTTGAATCCAGCAATACCACTTTGGGGATATACCCAAAACTGTGACCAGGTTACTCCAGAGGCACTGCACACCCATGTTATTGCGCACTATTCACAATAGCCAAGTTATGGAAACAGCCAAGATGCCCACCACTGACGAATGGATTAAGAAAATGTGGTATCTATACACAATGGAATTTTATGCAGCCATGAAGAAGAACGAAATGTTATCATTCGCTGGTAAATGGATGGAATTGGAGAACATCATTCTGAGTGAGGTTTAGCCTGGCCCAAAAGACCAAAAATCGTATGTTCTCCCTCATATGTGGACATTAGATCAAGGGCAAACCACAACAATGGGATTGGACTATGAGCACATGATAAAAGCGAGAGCACACAAGGGAGGGGTGAGGATAGGTAAAGACACCTAAAAATTAGCTAGCATTTGTTGCCCTTAACGCAGAAGAAACTAAAGCAGATACCTTAAAAGCAACTGAGGCCAATAGGAAAGGGGACCAGGAACTAGAGAAAAGGTTAGATCAAAAAGAATTAACCTAGAAGGTAACACACACGCACAGGAAATCAATGTGAGTCAATCCCTGTATAGCTATCCTTATCTCAACCAGCAAAACCCTTGTTCCTTCCTATTATTGCTTATACTCTCTCTACAACAAAATTAGAAATAAGGGCAAAATAGTTTCTGCTGGGTATTGAGGGGGTGGGGAGAGGAGGGGGCGGAGTGGGTGGTAAGGGAGGGGGTGGGGCGGGGGGAGAAATGACCCAAGCCTTTGTATGCAAGCATATGAAAATAGATAAAAATAAAATAAATAATAAGTGTCTGATATTTAAAAATCTAAGAAGGCCTTAGTTGGCAAGGCACGCATCACTGCTACTGATGCTGCTTTCCCAGTGTGGACATTCAGGGTCACTCCTCTTATCAAAGATAGGAGGGCATGGTGGTGAAGTAGACTGGGACTCTGCAGGGTCAATTTCCCTCTTCTAGGAAGAGGAGAAAAATGTAGCAAGATGTTTTGCTCTTTGAATCACTATGGCAACCTGAATTCCTTTATTCTTCCAAGAAATTATAAACAAAATCAATTCACTAAGTTGGCACTCTTCTGTTTTCCTTCTCCAACAGTTAGTGCTTTTCAAGAAAAGTGTCTCTGGACTGCTTAAAATGTATGTCAGATCCCTTTAACATATATTTAGTAACAGCAAATGAAAGACTCTTAAAAAGTTGATAACATGACCATGAAAGCCCGGGTGCAACAGATTTCTCATGGCAGGCATGCCACAGAACGTGACATTGGATTAAAGTTATTTAAAAGTCCTGTTAGATAAAGGAGGGATGGATGAAGGAAGAGCATGTAAGAGAGGGGTGAGAGGAAGAGAAGGAAGAACTTCTGTTTTAGATGTATGTGACCAGGGCAACTATCTAGACACCCATGCCCACAAGGGCACCCCATGCCTACGGAGAGCACTCTGTGGTCATCATCTGGAAATTCTAGATCTGTTTTGTAAGAGCAGTCTGATACAACAGTGGACCGTCTATCCACATACTTTCTGCTTCCCAACCTCCCTTGGACAGATTCTTGGCTGCCTGCTTCTAGGCTGCTGCCCTCTGCTGTGGCAGGGGCATGGCACAGATCCTGGATGAGCCAGGCTTGAACATGCTCCCTGTTGCAGAGCAACTGCAAGGGTGGTAAGAATTCACAGCACAAGGGAAAATCACATTAAACAGCAAATAAAAATCACCATGGCAGGAGGAGAGAGACATCACAGATGAAAGGAATAAGCCTTGTGCCTACCTCACTGTGCTACTTCTCAGCACTCATCAGTCATTTTGTTAACAGTAAAATTAGCTGTGCCAGCTTCTCCAAGGTCCACATCCCCAGTGAAATGGGAAGGTCAAATGAATGGAAATAATGAGCAAGTTTGTTGTCTGCTGGCCCATCCTTCAGGCTAGCTCTGATGTCAGTTGATTATATCTATAATCAAGTCCAGCCTTGGTTCACTAATTATGGAAGACAAATTGGCTCTAGTGTGAGTCAAAAATCCCTGCAGAGAACTGAGACTAGTGGAAATTTGTTGGCAATTAAGTAAAAATTATAGGGGCCCATTGTTTTGAACTAGGTTCTCGCACTGGACCCTAACAGAGCAGACTAAAAATCAAAATGGAGTCACTACACTTAAGTTCCACTCACCAAACCCACCTAAGTTGTTATCTGACCTGAGAAACCAGGGAGAGGGGAAGGGGGAAAAAAAAGAAAAGAAAACAGAGAGAAAGATAGTAGGTAAAATTTCCAAACATGCCAATCTGTATAACAACAAAGGTCCCCCTTCTTTAATTCTTCCTCCTTTAATCCTTACAAAAAAATAACTGCTCCAACTTTGAAATGGCTAATGTGCTTTTGTCATTTCTGCTTTTTCAGCCATTCTCTGTCTATAAAACCAACCTCCTTTGCTCAGCCCATTGGAACATTTATTCAATATTATGAATTAAGTGTAGCTCAATTTTAGAATAAAAAATAAAGCCAGTTAGATCTTTAAAATGAGCTAAACATGTAGCTTAGCAGTAGGGCACTTGCTTAGCATGCATGAGACAGTGGATTTGATCCCCAGTACTGGAAAAAAAAAAACTTTAAATTCTTGTAATTTTGTCCTTTGAGAGATCATTTGTATAGACTATATTTTTCTGGGGCCAACCATGGTGGAGCATGCCTGTCATCCCAGCCACTCAGGAGGCAATAATAGGAGGATCACTGTTTGAGGCTGGCCCAGGAAAAAAGTGAGACCCTATCTCAAGAAACAAGATGTGGTGTCCTGTTGTCCTGCTACTTGAGAGACAAAAGTAGGAAGGTCAAGTCTAAGACCTGAATGGGAAAAAGAACAAGAGCCTATCTGAAAAATAAACTAAAAACAAAAGGATTGGGCTGTGATTCAAGCAGTAGAAAAGTTACCTAGCAAGTGTCAAGGCCCTAAATTCAATCCCTAGTACTGCAAAAGTAAACAAATAATATACATACATTTTTTCTGTCTTTCGTATCTTTTTTTACTTTGTATTTTCATCTTCCTGCATAGGCAGGAAAAAGCCTATGGGTTATTCTAATGGATTTTCTTTTACTCTTTATCAGAGTGGAAATCGAATTCTGTGTTCCATCATTCTGAGCCATCATCAGGGCCCGTCCATAATCAACCATGACGATGAAAGCGGGAAGACATGTGTTCACATTGCAGCAGCTGCAGGGTTTGGCGACATTATTAATGAACTGGCAAAAGTCCCTGAGTGTAACCTGCAAGCTCTGGATGTGGATGACAGGTATGCATGGCAACCCAAAGTGCTGGGAACTACCAATCATATTAACCTTAATGTTAATCTTAAAATAAAGATGTCCAAGGAGTTATCCTATATGACTATATCCTTATTGTCAGTAATACGTGTTTGTGACAATAAAAATTGCTCTATTTTAGTAAGAGGAGGAAAATCATTGTTATGGAGAAAAGTGTTGTAACTGCAGTATTGTCAGATTTTCCATATTTCACTAGATGTTTTCAGCATTCTCAGAAGGCTTTCTGTAGAACAGCTTCCTGCTCTCTGCCTTTTTTGTTCCTGATAGATTTTATTTTCTTCTTCATTCCTGGATTATGTCTACATGCCAACAAGTTCTTAATAACCAAAGAAAAGCACAAGACATGCTTTGTATTAAAACCTAATGGGCTTGTGAAACTTACCAGGTTTTTTTCAGTCTGGCTAGAAGAGGAGGTTGGGTCCAGAAAGGTGAAAAGACTTATCTCAGAGCTAGTTAGCAACTTGGCCAAGGTGTGTACCCCTATCTTCCAAATTTGGAGCTTTTCACCTACAAACCTGCTTACCTAACCTTTGTTCCAGTTAGGCACTGAGTCAATGGAAATGAAAGAAAAATATAAACAAGACTATTGAAAATAGTGTAAGGGTTTCACATTGTTGGGTGTTTGCACCCTTTTCTATTAGTCACCACTTATCCTGATTTTAGATGTCCCCCCACAGAAGCATCTCCCCCTGATACTTAAAAGTTTTTTTTAATAGTGGGGGAAATTTTCTTGGGTTCCAACTAGATCTCAGAAGCTGAAGGTGGTTAGCATGGTGATTTTTCATTAAATTAGGCATAAGTCATTGAAACGAGACTTTTTCTTAAGAGCAGGTATTGATCTTGACTCAGAAAGCCCAATGTTAGTAACATGAAGAGAAAGGTGAAGAAAGGAATAACTTCCAGAAAGGAGGGCTGAAGGGAAATGTATGTACTTCAAAATACTCCCAGAACCAGCTCTGAACAGAACAATTCCCATCTTTCAGTATCACAGATTTAACAAAGAAAATCAAGTTCCCCAGGCGTCAGGGAAGAAAGTAAACCAAGAGCAGATGAGGCCCAGTGAGTGTTCAAAGGGAAGTTCACTGTCAAGGTCCGCTCAGTTCATGTTCCAAAGCTCAACGCCAGTGTACTGCTCAATCATACAGGTGCTTCCATATTGTTTCATGTTTTCTGCTGCTGCCTTCTTTAAGTTGAGACTACAAGTTTCTGTTAGCATTTGACTTACTCAAAATTTTCATAAGCTTAAGTGTTTTAAGCATTTACAATCCTTGTGACTTCCCTTTCTTTCTTTTCCTTTTCCTTCTCTTTCCTAGTGAAAGATTTCCCAAAAGAAAGTATTTGTGAAAAGGGAGGACAAACAAAGTAATGTTTTTTTAAAAAGAGAGATGGGGGAAAATACGGAGAACTAGTCCTTCTCCATATAAAAACACATCATAAATTGTTGATATTTAAAACATTGTGGTACTCACCTAAGATTAATAGCACAGAACGAATAACCCAGAAGCAGCATGTGTATTTTAAATGTCCCACATTTCATCAGTCTATTAGGTCACAATCCTCTTTAATAAGCAACTCATTTATCTTCAGGGAGGACAGTCTTTACCAAGTTCTCCTCCCTACATATTTCTGGGAATTCTCTGGGGAATGTTTACATGATTCATAAACCATCCCTTGGCTACTAAGAGCCAAGATGCAACTAACACTGCATCTTCATCCCCATCATCTCTCACCATTCAGAGACTACCACTTCCACCCACAGCCTGTCTCTGCTGAGTTCCTTCTGAACCCTGGGTCTTGACCTTCAGCTCCCCACGGAGATAGCTGAGACCAGTTTGCTGGGTTTGCAAGACTATCCTGAAGCTTAGGGATAAGAAACTATAGCTTAGACAAACTGAAATTAGACGCTGTGAATCTGCCACAAAGGCCCTCAGTCTATTAATCCAAGGTTCTTATACTCACCTCATTTCTAAGCAAAACAACTTAAGTTTCCCGCTGTTATTTTAGGTGTCTTCCACAGTGATTGCCAGAGAAATTGAAACAGTTGATCTTAGCAATCGTAAGGGAGTATTTCCTTCACAAACCTTCAAAGTGAGTTGTCGCATGTTAGTGGGCCTGACTGGATCCATGTCCAACCCTCATCTCTAACTGGGAGTGCATAATCTGCTGTTGCCTCATCTTGTTTTACAGTTTAATTGCTTTCGGGAGACCTCTGTCACATAGAATGGAATGAATCATACCTGCCACATTCAAATATGCATTGTGATTGGTCACGTATTGGAAATAATATATGACCCTATTAGGAGTCACAAAACTGCCGCCTAAAATAGCATAACACGAGGAAGAGGGTGTTTACTTGACAGAGGACACAACCTATGTGTGGGGACTTTGTGTAGGGACCATGGGGTCCACTGTATACATGGATTCTCTCCAAATACTCAGGTCCAAGCCCCTTCACAGGCCGCCCCCAGCAAGCCCCTTTCCGCCCAGCCGCACACTGCCTCCATGCCCGAGAAACTGCCTAGCTCTTCTGCTCAGGATTCAGGCCTCAGCACAAGCCTAATGAGAGGCCTACCATGTCCTCCTTTCCTGTCAAGGACTGGCCCATTGTCAGAGCAACTGACAGGAGGGTAGCCATTCTCTCCATGGGAAACCCCATTCATAAAAATGTCATCTTGCTCTTTGCCATCCTCATTCTATCCCCCAGAAAAAAGTCAGAGCCTGGCAGTGTGACACCAGTACACTCTCCAAAATATGGTTTATTCATTCTTGAATAAAATCATGAGAATAATCCAGTGTTCTGTTCCTCTTCACAGCATTTTTCAGAATGACCTGATGGCCAAAGGAATTCATTCTCAGTCACCTCCAGGCTCTACTCTGATGTCCTGGTAGCAACTTCCAAGCACTTACAAGTCCAGACTTCCAAAAATAATAATACGTAGGCACAGAGCAACATAAATCTATATTTAAGGAACATTTCTTTTGAGTAATGTGAAGTCTCCCAGCAGGTTAACCCTCTCTCTGCAGCTTCTCAAACTTCTGTTATGGATAAAAGTCTTCAATGTACATTGGGAGCACTTAGAAGCCCACTGAGCAGGTTACCGAAATGAAACAGTCCAAAAATCTTATTTCTACTTATTTCTACCCACCAGGTTAAAAACTCAGAGTCTGATATTACCAGAATTATTTTGTCACTGGTACAAGATAGAAAGCATGTCATGAATGCAGTCCTGTTTTATTGAGCTCCGGCAGTGTAGGTTTTAGAGATAGCACAGTGAGTGAAATGTCACCATTTCCTTCCCACGTGGAGCCTATAGTGCACACAAGAGAAAGAATGAGCAACATAAAATCTATATTTAAGGAACATTTCTTTTGAGTAATGTGAAGTCTCCCAGCAGGTTAACCCTCTCTCTGCAGCTTCTCAAACTTCTGTTATGGATAAAAGTCTTCAATGTACATTGGGAGCACTTAGAAGCCACTGAGGCAGGTTACCGAAATGAACAGTCCAAAATCTTATTTCTACCCACCAGGTTAAAAACTCAGAGTCTGATATTACCCAGAATTATTTTGTCACTGGTACAAGATAGAAAGCAATGTCATGAATGCAGTCCTGTTTTATTGAGCTCCGGCAGTGGTAGGTTTTAGAGATAGCACAGTGAGTGAAATGTCACCATTTCCTTCCCACGTGGAGCCTATAGTGCACACAAAGAGAAAGAATGGAATAACTGCTATGTCAAATATTAATGTTATGTTAACAATGCAGACGGTTTAGAAGTCATAATGATTTTTACTATCTATAATTTAACCCAATTTCTATTTTTGAGTCACCTCAGTAAATCAGTGGGTAACTTAACCTCTATCATTTTTTAGCGTCCCTCCTTCTCTTTAGTGTGCCATGGTTCTGGAATATTTTTTTTTTTAACAATACCAATATAGGAATAGAGGAAGAAGACGCCCCTTGACCTTTGTCCTTGTCTTTTCCGGTGTGATAATGTTCCACTGTTTCTGTGCTGTGCTTAGCACCATGGTGATCATGAGCTATTGAGGTCCCACTCAGCAGACACCACACAGACATGCCGGCCCCGCCCTCCCAGTAGCTCTGCCAAGGAAAGCAGCATTCTGGTCCCCACTGCTCTTGAGTTCAATAGTCTTCATCACCCTGGGCACCTGCCTCGACAGCTGAGGGAGGATTTTCTTTCTAGTTAGGGGAGCCATCTCCCTTCATATGTTCAGTTAAATATTTTGCCTTTGCTCCAGATCTGCTCCCAGTATTGAGCTTCAGTTTTGGAAGCAGAAAGTTATTGATTCTCTCTCTTATCTACCTTGTCACATCCTTTCCCCTGAGGTTGAGCACAGTCAAACATTCCCTTAAGTGGGGGAAACAGGAAGGGTAGAAAGGTATGTATAGAGGTCAGGATCCCAAAATATATGGTACTGTCAGGGATGACGGAATGGCTCAAGTAGTACAGCACAAGTGTGAAGGCCTGAGTTCAAACCCTAGTGCTGTAAAAAAAAAATGTGAATGATACTATTAGATTAATAAATGGTGTTAGAAAAGTCATGTATTGGAGAAAGTCAGATTGTCACTACATCTCACAGCACATACCAAAATTTACATATATACACATACATATTTTTGTTTTTTTTTTAATTTATTTTGAGACAAGGTCTCACTGTATAGCTGAGGCTGACCTTGAACTCACAATTCTCCTGCCTCCACTTCCCAAGCACTGAGATTACAGGTATTCACCACCACTCCAGGTCACGTTTTTATTTTTTTAATTTTTAATCCACATAAATCTAGAAGAAAATACTGGTTTTCCTTTCATCTATATCCAATAAAATTTACTTTTTTGGTATATAAGTCTATGAGTTTATTTTTTTGTTTTTTGTTTTTTGGGTTTTTTTAGCAGCTGTCCAATTTTATTTATTTTTTTTTCTTTTATTTATATGTGCATACATAATAGCCATAGATTGTAACTATCACAAGCAAGATTCAGAGTAATTCCATTGATTCCAACATCAACCCATTTTATAGTCAAATCCTCTCCCATCTTAAGCTCTGGTAAGCACAGATTGACTCTGTCTCTACAGTTTCACCTTTCCCAAAATATTGTGTGCATGGCAATATAGGTTGAATAGCCCTTAGCTGAAATGCTTAGGGAACAGAAGAGTTTCAGATTTTCAATTTTTTTAAATTTTGGAGTATTTGCACATATGTAATGGAGGTATCTTGGAAGGGGACCCAAGTCTAAACATAAATTTTGTTTATATTTATGTATACAGCCTGAAAGTAATTTTGTACAATATTTTAGTGCACCTGCATATTGGCTGTGAGCTATCATCTGAGATCAGATGTGGAATTTTCCACATGTGTGTCTGTTGGTGTTCAGAAAGTTTCAAATTTTGGAGCATTTCAGATTTTGGATTTTCAGATCAGGGAAGCTCAACTTGCGGTCACTGGGAATCTTTTGAGATTGACTTATGTCACTTTGCAGAATGCATTTGAGGTCCATCTGTGTTGTTGACAGATCAGCAGTCTGTTCTTTTTGTCAGTGAGTAGTGTTCCGTTGTGTGGATGAACTACGATTTGTTTGTCCACTGACCCTCTGAAAGACACTGGGCTATCTGGTTTTTGGTAGTTGTGATAGTGCTACTATAAACATTTGAGAATAGAGTTTGGGGGCATTTTGATTTGTTTTCCTTTTTGAGACAGATTCTTGCTATATAGCCCAGGCTTGTCTAAAACTCACCATGCTCCTACATCCGCCTCCCAAGTGATGAGATTACAGGCCTGGGCTACCATGTCAAGTGGAGAACAGGTTTTCATGTGAATCTAAGTTTTTCTCTAGAAATGGGATTTCTGGATCACTGTATATTTAACTTTAGAAGGGACTGCCAAACTATTTTCCAGAGTGGCTGTTACCATTTTATGTTACCACCAGGAATGTATGAAAATTCCAGTTGCTTTCTATCTTTACCAGCACCTGGTATTGTCAACCTTTATTTGTTTTTCTTTCTTTCAGTCATTTTAATAGGTGTGTAGTGGCATCTCATTTGACTTTAATTTCCATTTCCCTGATGACAAATGTTACTGAGCCCCTCTTCATGTGCGAGTTTATCATTCATACATCTTCTTTGATGATGTGTCTCTTCTGATCTTACCAGGTATAGGAGAATAAATTGAGTCAATCTTCCTGGAAGGCAGTTTAGCTCTATATATAAGTGAAACTGTCATACTTCCTCTTCTACAAAATTCTCAGGGAGGTCAGAGAAGGCAGAAAGCCAGAGAACACTGAGCTGGAGGAGAGGCTCCTGTATGTCCACACCATCATCCTGGTGCCCATTTCCTACAAACTATTTCTACCAGGAATAACAAGATGTTCCTACTTCAGCCAAACTTTGGATGGGAGCTGTGCTGCCTGTAGCGGTCATGCGCTCTGTGCTTTTCCTGTGTGGTTCCCTAGGACGCCCCTGCACTGGGCTGCAGCTGCAGGGAAGGCAGAATGTGTCCAGTCCCTGCTGGAGCTGGGCATGGACAGCAACCTGAGGGACATGAACGAGAGCACGCCCCTGGCCTATGCCCTGTACTGCGGTCACACGGCCTGTGTCAAGCTCCTCTCCCAAGGCAGCAGGTGAGTATGCTAACAGACACTCCTCTGCTTCTCCTCGCCTAAAGATTTAAAAACTTAGGTAGGAGTTGCTAAGTTGCGGAGTTCAAAACCAGCAATAGTTTGTTATAATTATATGTAACATTAAATAACTGTACTGTTATTATATGTTTTTGTTATTATCTAACATAGAGTGATGTGTTCTCTATTACATGGGAAAAAGTAACCGTAGTCCTGAATCCATCACCTAGTATTCACTGGACTTGAGTCTCTTCTTTCCTTTTTCTCCCTTTCTTCTTTCCTTTTTTCATGCCCTCTTATTCTCCCTATGCTTAAATCAGTGGTTCTCAAACTTTTTTTTCCTTTCTTTTTTCTGGTTCTCAAACTTTTTGTTCTCAGGACCTTTTTACATTATCACATTATTGAAGATACCAAAGAGCTTTTGTTTATTAGAGTTACACTTATTAATATTTATGATATTAAAATTTAAAACTAAGAAATTTTTATTAAAATATTTATTCAGTTATTAATTTAAGCAATAATAAACATATGACATTTACATGTTAGCATAAATACCATATTTTAACTGTACTGTTATTATATGTTTTTTGTATTATCTAACATAGAGTGATGTGTTCTCTATTACATGGGAAAAGTAACCCAGTATTCCTGGACTTGAGTCTCTTCTTTCACTATTCTGGACTTGAGTCTTCTTTCCTTTTTTCATGCCCTCTTATTCTCCCTATGCTTAAATCAGTGGTTCTCAAACTTTTTTTTCCTTTCTTTTTTCTGGTTCTCAAACTTTTTGTTCTCAGGACCTTTTTACATTATCACATTATTGAAGATACCAAAGAGCTTTTGTTTATTAGAGTTACACTTATTAATATTTATGATATTAAAATTTAAAACTAAGAAATTTTTATTAAAATATTTATTCAGTTATTAATTTAAGCAATAATAAACATATGACATTTACATGTTAGCATAAATACCATATTTTAATTGAAAATAAAAATGTTTTGCCTGGAATCCCAGCATTCAGAAAGATGAGGCAGAAGGATCACAAGTTCAAGGCCAGCCTGGGCTGCATTCATTCATAGCAAGGCAGTACTGGGGATTGAATCAGGGTTTGTACCTGTTGGGCAGGTGTTCCACCACTTGAGCCACACCTCTAACCTGGTTGTTTTGGAGACAGTGTCTCACTGTTTGTCCAGGCCAGCCTGGACCAAGATCCTCCTGTAGCTGGGATGAAAGGCATGCACTACCCAGCCCAACTTTTTCCTGTTGAGATGGGGGTGTCTCACTGGCCCACATCCATGATCCTCATGATGTCAGCCTCCCTTGTAGCGTGAGATGAGAAGCATGCACCTCTGTGGCCAGCTATTAGTTCTGGTTTCCCTAAAGTTAGCTGAAGTATAGACTCTGCCACCATATTAATGACTTTTTAATATTTTGTTACATTAAAATCCACTACTATGTCTTATACTTTCAGAGGGTTTTATACCCATCCATGATTTTTATAACATCTTGCATTGGTCATTTGGAAAATACTGGTTCATTTAGTTAGAAGGATCTTTCAATGACACATTTAACTATACATTATCAAAATATCACAGCTAGGTTTGGTGGTGTGTCCCTATAATCCCAGCACTCAGGAGGTCAAGGGTGGGAGGATCGTGAGTTCAAGATCAGCCTGTACAACACAGCAAATTCAAGACTAGTCTCAGATACTTAAGACCCTGTCTCAAAAACAAACAACCAAAAAGTCGCATTTGTTGATACCACCAATTATCTCATCAGAAAAACCTTTATGCATTGAGATGCTGTCAAACTTATAGATTGAATACAAGTTTCAAAATTCTAATTTTTGCTTAAAATGTAAACTTCTGTCACTGGTAGCAAGAACTATGAATTATTTACCTGGAAATAACAGGCATGCTTTGTTTATTTTAATATATTTTGTTATATATATTTAAGGTATACAATATGATATTTTAATATGCATATTTATTGTGAAATAATTGCTAGTCAAGTCACTTAACACATTTTTCATTTCACAGTTACCTTTTTGGGGTGTGGTAAGAATACCTAAACTCTACTCTTTCAGTGTATCTCCACTATGTCATATGATGTTGTTATGGTTTAAACTTGTATGTCTCCCAAAAGTCCATGTACTAAAGACTTGATCCCCAGTTTGTGGCACTAGTGGGAGGTGGCAGATCCTTTAGGAAGTGGGCCCTAGTGGAAGGAAATTAGGTGACTGGGGGTATGGTTGGAAGGGGATACTGGGACCATGGCTCCTTCCTGTCTCTCTTACTTCCTGACTGCCATGAGGTGTGCAGCTCCTCTTGCCACACGCACTTCCATGATGCACTGTGTTGCCACAGACAAAAAGCAATAGAGCCAATCTATCAGGGACTGAAATCCCTGAACTGTGAGAAAAATAAACCTTTCCTCCCTATAAGTTGTTTATCTCAAGTATTTTTGTCATAGGGATGGAACGCTAACACAAATACTACCTATAGACCTTGTGCTGTACTTTAGGTCTCTAGATTTATTAATCCTACATAACTGAAACTTTGGACTCTGGCTTGCATCTCCCCATTGACTGCTATTCCACCCTCGCCTCTAGAAAGCAGTTTTACTCTCTGTTTATATGTATTTCACTTTGTCTATTTTTGAGAAAATGTCTGCAAATACCCCACTTCATATCATTATAGTTTGACTATAAATCATAAAAATGATGTTCCATGGAAAAAAAGTACTTTGCTCAGCTGGTAACTCAAACAATAGCACAAGTGCTTTCCCTCAAGACAACCACCAAACCGCAGTACACGGTAGTATTGCCCAGGAGTGTTTTTTATATTCTCAAAAAGTGGATACTCAAAAGTCAATATTTAATCAAATTAATAACTTCTCCTGTCTCAACAGGACAATACTAAGTTAAATGACTTTTAAAAACTGAGCGTGTTGATGCCACTGTGGTCCTGCTTTTTGCTAAGGTACCCACAACTCTACCTACCATCTCTACTGCATCATATATGCAAAGGCAGCACAGCAAAAAGGACAAAGGACCTCTTAGTTTTTTTATGAATATAATTTTAGCCTCATGAAACTCCTGAAAGGGTCTTGGGAGGCTTCCCCTAGGTTTCAGTGGAGCACACTTTGAGACTTGCTAGCCTAATTCACAGCCTGTAACAGGAAGAAAACATGGTTGTAGAGGATGCTGAAACAGCACAGTGTAGACATATTCTGCATGGGGAATTTTGAGAGAATGTCGGAAGTTCCATAGGCTTCTCTCTGGGAGTCTTAGTGTTAACAGCAATGGTGTAGTCTGTGATCAGAAGATTTCCAAATTCTTTGTGTCCCGTTTGGAAGAATTCATGGCAGGACACGCAGGTGTGATGGGGTTTATTAAAAGTTAAGGAGGGGAATTACAAAAGGGGACCAAGTAGAAGCTGCAAGGAGAGAGTCTTTCTCTTTTCCAGGTGCTTTTTAAAACTTATGCTAACCTATGAGAAGGGAAGAACCTGGTGATCCCCAACCAATAATTGATGAGTGGGGAGTAGCATGGGTGGTCCCTGGGCCAGGTAAGGGTGCTTTGAGTTGTCCCTAAGCTAGGGTGTGAATAACTACACACATTTGCAATTGAAAAGAAGACTCAGATAAATAGAGGAGTGTTTAACCTGAAATATAAATTAAGTCATGTATGTTCTAAGAGTCCCAGACTTTCCCTAATTCTAGCTTACCTCATTAAGAGTCCGGAAGCCAAGTTCAATACTTCAAAAAGCATATGAAAGATGAAAGAATGAAGACAAAAACACATCATGGCAACAAAGACACTCACTGTGTGATGGGAAGAGAAAACATTCGCTATACACATCCAACATAAGTGGTGATGTTTTTCAAGATACAGATTACAATATCTGACTCAAAGAGTAATGCTGCAGTCTGAGTCAGGAGCACACACAGGGGTCAGATTTCATCATTAATTCACACCACAGGGAGCACTAAGTCCATTGTGGCCTCAAAAGAGAATAGCACAGATTTTCCAAGGAACAAAACCAGAGTAGTGCCTCAGGGAAACTCCCCATAAGCACAGCCAGCCAAATGGCTGCTGACCTTTGACCTTTAGAATTTGCCTGTGTATTGGGTGTTATTCACTCTTCTGCTTGTCATAACCCAACCTCTGGCTCACACAGCTGGAGAGATCAAGAGCAAGGTTTCTCTCTCTGCTTCCCTTAGCGTACTGTTTTTAAAAGTATTTTTTCTTCAGCAAACTTAGTAAAAAGTGAGAGAGAAACAAAAAACAAACAGTATAAAATGGGCAAGTTTCCCCAGTGGATTAGGTCAGGCTCTCTCTGAATTCTTTGTGGGCTTTTCCAGAGAAAGCCTAAAGCCAAACTGTTCCTCCTCTGCAGCTTCCACCCTTTTTCTACTGAGTGAAGCCTGAACTCAGATCCTGAGACTTCATTTCTTTACTCAAAGCTGATATGCCTGTTGACTCTCAGTGAGAAGAGACAGCAGTAATAGCGTTAAGCTATTTTCATCTTAATCTCCTAGTGGAAACAGATTGTCTAGGGATAAAGTTTGAAAGGACAGTTCCTGAAGGAGCAAGAAGGACCAGATGGGACTGTGCTGAGTGAGTAGGGGACTGACGTGTTGAGGACCCTCCTCTGCCAAGGCCATCTTGAAGGGTGTGAGTTCCACTTCCTGTCCTCACTTATCATCCTTGTTCTTTTCTATTTCCATAGAACAGAGCCTGCTCGACCCCTTCCCACCCAGAACAGTCGACCCCCAAAGAAGGAAGGACGGTTTAGCATGTTCAACCAAATCTTCTGTAAAAACAAGAAAGATGAACAGAAGGCCCACCTGAAGGATCACAGCAAAGACCAACACAGGGGGGAGGACACCTCGGAAGTTGATGACATCATCACCACCTTTGACAGCATCCTTGATACCAACTGCCAAGACCAGCCTGGTGACCAGGTGGCTATGGTTGACTTTAAGAAGAGGACCTCAGAGAATTCAAAGTATCTCTTGCCAGAGAAGAAACCTTTGACCCGGAAGGGGCTTCCACCAATAAGAACACAGAGTCTCCCACCCATCACCCTGGGTAATAACTTCCTGACAGCCTCCCATGGGACCACTTCCCACGCTGGCCTAAGCTCTGGCACTCAGCCTACCACTCAACGATCTCAGAAGAGCCGAAGTGAACAGGACTTGTTAAATAACAGGACTGGCTGCCAGGTGTTGCTAGATAATCCTTGGAAGGGTGATTCTAACCAGGTGTTCTCCTACAAAGCATGGACTGTGTCTTCTTCCGATAAGCTGCTAGACAGGCTGATGGCTGCCCGGCCTTGTCACCATGAGCTCTCTGGGCCACCACATCTTCCTCATCTACACAATCCCACACCAGGTAATGTCCTTGTTTGCTTTTTCCTTCCTGGCAGCTTCTTACAGGCAGTGCCTCATGCAGTTGGAGGCTAGGAAGCAGAAGGACAGAAACCTACAGGGCAGGGGAAGAATAAGATGAGTGATTAGGGCCACCTTTTTTGTCCTGAACTCCCACTGGATTGGAGAGTTCCAGGCTATGGAAACATTCTGCTTTTCCACCCTGAGAGTAACCAGGATGTTTACTGGTTTGTGTGTTGTGTACCTTCTCATCTTCTCAGCAAATTTGCATTGTGTCTGCCAACTTAAAGCAGGAGTATTACTATTTCCACTGTAAGGACTCTTATCCAGAGGCATGTGACAAAATGGCTTTCAATGGGTTGATTTGTTTGTGTGATTGTCCGCTTTTAAATCAGCATTCAGTCCCCACCCCTCACCTCTGGGTATGGAAGGAAGGAAAATGGCAGTGCCCTGTAGAAAGGTAACAGGTTTCCATGGTTATGCCTTAAGCCTGAGTGTATACCAAAAGATTACATGGCAGTTCTGCCTCCTGCCTCTTCCCTTGGCTGCCCAGAGCCCCTCAGCCGGAGCAAGCAATGCCACTAATTTTTTTCTTATCCTTCATGAGTTATTTCACACACACATACTTGTCTACATTTAGGCACAAAATAAGTACACAGTGTGTATCACACTGATGTATTTACATTTTTATACACAAATGTATATGTATATGTTCACTCTATAAATGAGTGTATCACATGAAATAATTTATTTTGACTTTAAAAAAATTATCTGTAAGTGATTCTGATACAACCCAGAGCTAAAAACTTCTGGGGCTGCAAAACAGCTAAAATTTGTTCAATCACAGAGTGCCTGGGTCTGTTTGTTTTTGAGAGTGTCTCAGGGCCTCTGCTTGCTGGGCAGGTGCTCTCTCCCTTGAGCCACACCCCAGCCCTCTGTGTTTAATTTTAAATGAATTAACTAACTGCCAATATTTAAAACTTATGACATTTTACATAAAACTTTTAAAGTTTTACTTTCCCTTGAGAAATTAAAAAATCTGACAGCACTGAACCAGAATTCCCATGTGGCAGTAATTGGCTAGATCTGAGAAACCACTGTGCCATTGGACACCACTGTCCCCAGTTCAACTCAGTCCGTATCACTTATTCTTTATCAACATATTTCTGTCATTGTTTTTTTCTAATAGTAGGGTTAAGAGAGGAAATGACATATTTCTTGAACCCTATTTCTGTCAAAAGTGGAAAAATGAGAGACCAAGAGGGTAAGATGTTTTTTTAAAAGTAAGTGAGAGCTGGCGGAGTGGCTCAAGTGATAGAGCACCTGCCTAGCAAATGGGAGGCCCTGAGTTCAAACCCCAGTACCACCAAAAAGAAAAAAATAAAATAAAAGGTAGGTGAAAGCCATGTTTCTTTTACAAGGAAGACCATTCCTTCCTGTTTACTGTTGACTCCAATAAAAACTGGAGGTCTTGACCTCCTGTGTAGTGTTTCTTTTTGAGTTCTTTTTCTTTATCCCATCTAGAAGATGTACTTTGGCTTTGTTTTGGTTGGTTTGTTTGTTGTTGTTGTTTGTACTTTGCTTTACATATGTAAATCTGTCTCAGCCCTCAAATCAGTGTAGCAGTACTCCCTGTGCTCAGCTGCTCTTGCCTTTCTGTGTTTTAATAAACTCTTGTTGTCTTCATAAATTTGTGGATTAACCTGTAGCACCAAAAATTCCTGCCAGCTGTCTTGACGAAACAAAAACCATTTTTGAGACAGTTCTTTTTGTAAATGTTTTCAAGAACAATATAATATTTTAAAGATAGCCTTGTTGCATGAGCTTAGAGAATTAAGTCTTAGTTTAACATCAACATCAGTACATTAAATTTTGACCTTACAAAACTTTTAATGTAACTGGATTTTAGTCAACTCAATCACTTACATAAGCATTTATAAGCTCCATCTTTTTATAGCAAGTTACTCCTTACCTCCTTACCTTTATGACTACTTATTCTGTATCCCATGGGGGAGTTTGTCTTTATACTTTTTTACTTAAAAGTATTTTTTAACCTTTTATTTTTAAAAACTATATCCTTAATACCATATATATATATATATATATATATATATATATATAACTATATGTATAGTTACTTGTTGAAAATAACTCATAAAACCTTTTAACTTAGAGCCTTATATTTGTATGAAAAAAACAGAAAGAAGCAACATTAAAATTTTTTTTGTATAAAAACAATTTATAGAAAGCCCATTTGTTAATAGACCCATGGATTATGAGAGAGAATTAAATCCCAGATTTTATTACAACAGAATGAAACAGGCTAAGGTCACTTTTTTTAACTACCCAAATTTTAAGGTTCCTGCAGCAGGCTGTGGTTCCCCCTTTTTTTGCTTTTTGTTTCCACCCTCTGGTCTGAACCAGAGTGTTAACCCCTGAATGTCTGCATCGTAGTGAAACCTGATTGAAATAAGTTTGAAAACTGGTTTTCTTAAAAGTAGCAGTAGAACAGAGTAACAATTTTTTATACTGACTTTATAATAAGAACCATCCTCGAGATGTTTACATTTTCATATGTAAAAAGCTTAAGCAGTTTATAACAGAAATCTTTAAAACAAACACCCTGGTTTTTTGTTACCTTGAGTATCACACACACACACACACACACACACACACACACTCAAAAGTTTTATAAATTAAGCATGCCAGAAAAAAATGTCAACTTAAGCACATATAAGATGAGCTGGAATTCCAGTTGCAAATTAAATTTTGCCTAATGCTTTAAACAAATTGACATACACACACAATTAGAGTGTGCTCTCAAAAAATAAAAATAAAAACCTTTTAACTTATACCCAGAGGGCTAGCTAGTGGGATGGTAGATGATGCATCTGTTCTCTTGTGAGTCTTCCTCTTTGAAAATGAATTTTTGTTACCCATCCCTTAACCTTGGTTGTAGCTATGTCCTGGGAAAAGCTCAACTCCCCTCACCCCCAAGTACTGAAGGTTTTTTGCATTTTACCCAAAGTGCTTTCTTTTTACTTGTGTTGTTCCCCATCCTGGTCTACCTTGCTGGTGAGAAAACCCAGTGGGTGCTCAGCCTCTCTAATTCCCGCAGGTGTCTCATACACTTTTGTCCGGCTCCCTAAACCTGAGAGACACAGTTTCACCCCAGATAGGGCTACTAGGGTGTCTCCTGGGAGGTGATCAGGCTCCCTTCTGCCTCCTAAAGGCAGGCTTATTATTTGAACCTGGGTTCCTATCAGTGTGATGGGCAGGGCTTCCAATGGTTCACGAGCCTTCTTGGGGTTCCTGTGTGCCAGAAGAGGCAAGTCCCTCCATCAGATCAACTGGTCTGCTGGCGCCTGATGGGATGCTCTCCTGACGAGCCAGGGATGTCCAGTCCTGGTGACAACAAGGTGAAAACACCATCTCCAAGTCCCAGACAAGCCCCCAGAAATGTTACAGGAATCTTGAACAGAGACACAGTACACCAAGGCTTTTCAGGAAGCAATACTTATTAGCATGCCAGCAGCAGCTCGGCAGATTCACATCCAAAGGCTGAACTCTGAAACAATGGGGTCTCACCTTGTATACCTTTGCAAGCAAGTTACAGAAGCAAAAAGCAAGGTTTGACCTATGCTATCATTATCATCATGACCCACACATCACAGGTGTTACCTACAGCAATGCTAGTGAGAGACTAATAATGTATTGCCCAGCTGTGGTTATTATTCAGTGGTTTTGAAAGCTAATTCAAAGCAAGTAACTAAGGGGGAGAACAGGAGTTCAGAGTCAGAGAAGTAAAAAACAAAAATGGGTAAAAAGTATGGGTTAGGCAAGTGGAATTAGGCCAGCTGTATTTGTTGACTGGTAACTACCAAAGTTAGGATTCTGTCATCCCATGTAGTCTTGGAGACTGAGGTTTTATCCTTTTGATCATCGCACTCTTTTTTTTTCCATTTTTTTATTATCATATTATTGTTGTACTGGGAATATATTGTGACATTTATAAAATTTCTTACAATATATCATAGTTGAATTCACCCCCTCAATCATTCTCCTTTCCCCCCCCCCCCCATTTCCTGGAGATGGTCACACTCTTGAGAATGGTTCTTGGATCCTTGAAAGATGCTTCTGTACTGCAAAAGATATGTACTTAAAATTATAAACTCCTCTTCTTTGAGTAAATGCCCAGTTGAAGATGTGGCCCATCAAGCAAGGGCTTAGTTTTACTCTCACATGAACAATATCAAAATAGGCATCTCCCAGACACTTGGTGGCTCTGTGATCCCCCAAAGACACAGTGCTACTTCCATATATGTGCTTCATGACCTAACATATGGCCTCCTCCTTCTCTGTCACTTCACAGTCAATGGCTTATGAAGCAAGAGGAAGGAAAGGGGGTGGATGTCCCCCAGCTGAATCAGCTCCCATTTAGAAGTCATCTGCCATAAGGCCCAACTCTTCTGCTTGCACCTCATTGGCCACAGCTTCTGTACATGTTCATACCTAACTGCAAGGAAGACTGGGAATTGTAGTCTAATAGCTGGGCACATTGCTCTGTCCTCAAAATTGGATTGTTGTTCCTAAGGGAGAAGAAAGGGTAGCTATTAGAGAGAAAACTATTAGATTCGGCCCCATGTGCCATCCAAAATTTTCTATATTATTTGAAAAAAAGGACATTTAATAAGTTTTGTTTGGAGATTTGTTTAGGCCCTCAAGGAAGTAACCAGAGAAGTCCTAGAGCAGCAGAATAGAGAAAGGAGAAGTGAGAGTCTCCAAGGCATTCTTAAGACATTAGCTGAGCTTATATCAAAGCATTTATTTTTTCAACCACTATTTTTAGTGCTAATTATGAGAGGAAGCCATTGAAGGAAACTGACTTATGATAAGATAAATATCCAGAGTGTTTAGCCTAAAAACTAAGCTTAAGGGAAATAGTTATGGTAAAATGACTGCTCAACTGACTTTTTGTTGTAGCAAATGAAGCCCAAGACTTCACTATGCTAAGTAAGCACTTTTATCACCGAGCTCTAGCCCTAGCTCCAAACTGACTTTAAATTTCCTTTCTTCTCTTTTGGACACAAAGTCTAGGGTTTTTAAATGAAAAGAACCTTGGTCCTTTTAATGAGTGGCCATGATTAGTGAGTGCTTAATATCCCTAATTTGCCAGAGGGTAACATACACCACGTTTAAAAAGAAATTCTAGGGGGCCTGGTGGAGTGGAGTGATTGAGCGCTTGCCCAGCAAGCATGAAACCCTGAGTTCAAATCCCAGAACTGCCAAAAAAAAATGTATCATACACACACATATATATATGTCAAATGAATTGTTCAAAGTCTTATAGACAATTAGTGATATTTTCAGAACTTGAACTCAGAGCTCCTAAACTGGTATCCTTACCAGTTATCTACCATGTGATTTTCTTATCAACTATGTTGTCTTCCCCAAGATGAGACGATTTCCCTACCTTGTGGATTTCATTTCTGTGAACATTTTAACACCATTTGATATGTTGCTTTTAGAACTACGGAGACTCCTGTATTATAACAGAAATGGTTCCTTTCTGTGGTTTGAGTTGTCAGTCCAGGCAGGTTGAAATTGAACAGATTTCTACATTGAGCTCCCAGTCTGTCTGTAAATCCTTAATGTGGTGAAGCAATATGATGCCAGAAATCATACCATCGAACCACTCACTTGAACTTAGATAGTCCCTTTTCCTTTGGATTTTTCTCCTTTCCTGTCTCAGGTTCAGCAGAAATAATACAGGCTAGCAGTGCTATTGTTTGAGTTCCAGGCAGCTGTTATTCTGTGCTTACATCAGCAACCCTGAATCAGCTGTAATGATGATTACTTAAACATTTATTGAGACCTGTCAGCAGGCTAGATGAGAGATGGGGATGAGGCACTTCTCCTAATGAGCTGGAGTTTGGAGCACCCTGGCTTAATTCATTGTGCACGACTTTCGGAGAAAATGGAACAGAAATCTCTGTGGTGTTTTCTGCTAGCTTGGTTATTTATGAGCCATTACAAGAAGAACAAGAAAGTGCATACTCCCTTTCTCCTGCAAGGGAGAACTTCCTTCTCTGGAATTTTCTAGATTATCCCAGCAACAATGCACTCTTCTGGCTGGATAGGTCACAGATCCTGTGACCCTTTGGTTTCAAACCATCAGCAGTTTTCCAGCTTTTCAGGACAAAAGCCAAATTCCTAAGTAGGGTAACATAGCCCTCACAGTGTGGTCTAGCCTGCTACCCACTCTCAGCACCCCTGATCTCCCCATCTCCTGCCCTTCAGCAGTTCCTTGACTATCTTTCAGTTCCTTGAGAACCTGTTATCTTTTCACTGGGTGACTATTTGCCTATGTTATTAGTTTAGCTTTTCACTACTGTGTGTGTGTGACAGATTCCTATACTCTTTTAAGACCATCCCAAGCTGGGCATGGTGGTGCATGCCTGACATCCCAGCATTTGGGAGGCTGAGGCAGGAGGATCTCAAGTTCAAGGCCAGCCTGAGCTACATAGTGAGACCCTGTCTTAAACAAAGAGAGAAAAAAAAAAAAAACAGCTGGAAACTCACCTTCACAATCTCCATAGGAGGTGAGGCTCTTCCTTCTTATTCATAATAGAACTAGCTCCACCTTGTTAAACCTGTCACTTTCAGTCACTGGAGGGAGGACTTCCTATCTCCATTTTGTAGATGAAAAGATCAAGACTCACAGAGGTCAGCTCACCTGCCTAAGGTCACAGAGCTAGGAAGTAGCAGAGCAGATATACAAGCAAGGTCTATAGGATCCAAGAACACCTCCACCTTGATGGACCCCCATCCTACTGCCATGCCTTTACATAAATTGCAGTGCTTCTTGGAACAGGGGGCCTCAGAATTACAAGTTTACTTGCCCCAAATCCCATGTAAGCCATAGCCCCTTTGAGCACTTCGCCATATCTCACCCTTTGTACCCCAGGGTATGGCATACAGTGGGTTCTCAATAGATGACTGCTGGATTTATTAATTTGTTATTATCATTAATTCCTCTGTGACCTCAATTCCTTCACATAACCATGAAAACCTTTCCTGCCCTTTATTTTAGAACAGTAGTCTTTGGGACAGATGGTCTGGAGGTGCCTGAGGCACCTGTAAGAGTGCTTTATGCTCTGCATGATCCCACCCTGTCCCTCCAAATGGAGCAAAACACTGCTGTGGAATAAAGTTGAACTCCTCTCTCATCTCCCAAAACCTGATGAGGCCCTTCTCTCTCCCCACTACTTCCATTTAAACAATATTACTTTGAGGCCTAGGGAGGCAGTTGTTGTAGGGTCAGGCAGATAGCTGTGGCCTAGGCTCTGTCACTTCCCAGAATGTGACCTTAAGCACATTGTAGAGCTCCTTCAAACCACAGGGTCCTCTTTTGTAAAATGAGGAAGATAATGGACCTATCTCAGGAGGAAGGTAGTTATCTGAATTAAGATCATGCCTACGACAGTTACCCAGGCCCTGACAATAGTTAGTGCTCAACAAACGTTATCCATAATTACCAATATCATTTCTTGGTCTTATAAATTTCTGCTCAAGCATTCATAGATAATTAAGAAATAAGTCAATTTGGGTTTTAATGTAATTCTACCCAAGAATTTGTTTAAGAATGATGGCTCCTGAAATTATTGACTTTCAAATTAAAGGAATAAAATATAAGCAGAGTATAGTGGTACATACCTCTAATCCCAGCTACTTGGGAGGCAGAGGCAAGTTCGAGCCCAGCCTGGGTAAAGTTAGCAAGACCCTATCTCAAAAACAAAATATGAACAAAGGGGCTGGAAGCATGGCTCAAGTGGTAGAGCACTTGCCTAGCAGGCTTGAGATCCTAGGTTCAATTCCCAGCACCACAAGAAAGAAAATGGAATAAAATATAATGGCAAAACATCCACTAGGGAATCTGGAAATTTTGCTCTGTCTCCATGAAATGAAACTGCTAAGGTGGCTGTCTCTGCAGAACCTACTGTTGGATAAGCAGATGGAAGATCAAATTATCTTCTTTTGCTAATGTTGATTGAGTGCTTTACCCTGTAAGCTAAAGGCTTTACACTTGGTCTCCAATTTAATTTTCATGACAACTGGAAAAGACCAAATTATTTTTACCACTTTATGTATTTGGAAATTGGGGCTTAGAGGGCTATGTCACCAAGGTCATATAACTAAAGCATGGTGAAGTAGGAATCAAGTCAAATCCTGTCTGACCCTGGAGCCCAAGATCCTATTTACTGTACTGCTTGGCCAACTTTTAAAACTGACTTAAATAACTATCACATATTCCCTTCTATTTTCAAATATCTGGGACATCCATCTGTTGTAACCAGTAGTGTGTTGAATGTTTAACAACTGGCTCTTCAGGAGAAAAATCAGGGCTTGCTTATTTCCATGATGGAAAATACTCTCATTTGATGACCAAGTTCAAATCACTGGAGTGGTACCAACCAGCTCTCAAAATTCCCAAAAATGTAACCATCAGCTCTCAAGAGCAAGTTCATTGACCCACAAGCTCCAGCACACCACTGCCTGCAGTCAAAGTTAGAAAGAAATGATTTCCCAAGCACTTGGAAGACTCAGCTGTCTTCCAAGCCAGTGATTCAAAATCCTAACTACACATTTGTGTCACCCGGGAACTGATGAAAACCTAGCACCCTACCTCTAGAGATTCTGAATAATTGACCTGGGGTGTGGCCAAGTCAGCAGTCACTTCATGTGAACTCAGATCATTCCAGGTGCAGCCAGGATTGAGAAACACAGCTCTAGGAAAATGATACCCTAATCATCACTCACTCATCAAAGATGTGATGAATGTGTGATAAGCTATGTCTGACCTATATATCACTTTTATTTTTTCAACTTCAAATTTTATAGCGACAAACTGTATATTTATAAAACTCTATTCAATAAATGATTTCTGTCACCTTTTCATTTAAACAGTGAGTGGGATCTAATTCAATAAAGTGTGACTTCTTATTTTAATTTTTTGTGTTATTTTAAATTAGTGATCTCTGACAGCTTCTATGACTCTCATCCCTTAGATTTTATAATTTGCACTTGATCCTCAAATGATTGATGCAAATATGTTTGTTCCTAGGCAAAATTTTCAACTTCTGTCCCCAAACAGACCCAAAATGAGGGATCATCCTTTTACTAGGAACAACCTAGCTCCCCTACCAGACCAAAAATGTAAGTATTTTGAATCTTCTGGAGTCCTTTGCAAATGTTAGCATGCTGTCTCCACACAACTCATGTTATCTCAAATTATTTTCATTTTTAAAAGAACATCAAATGCCAGCACTTATAAAACTGCAGGAAAATAGAGACAATCTTTAAAGCGCCTTACAATTTGTTAATCCTTAATCACTTAAAAAAAAAAAGTACTGTCTCCCTTCAGGAATTTTTGTGTTTGAACTATGAAAACAGTAACAGAAGTTTATTTTTCTATGCATTATCAAATGTCTTTAAGAAGAACATTTAAAAATTCTTAAGACTGGCCTCTTGACATTGCCCCATAGAAGTACTCATAGCCCATGCATTCCTAAGCAGAAAGGGCTGCTGTTCATCGGAATTATTTTATTTTATTTGGTTTTTTGAGACAGGATCTCACTGTGTACTGCAGGCTGACCTTGAATTCGGCATTCCTTCTGCCCCAGCCTCTCAAGTGTTGGAATTACAGGTGTGTCCCTACCATATCTGGCTTTATTCAATATTTTATTTGGCATTATTAATTTATTTTACAGTATTTTATATAAAAATAAAACTCATAATATAAGTGATTCATATATTCTATTAGACCTGTGATCCTCAAACATGACTGTACGTCAGTATTACCTGGTGTGCCTATTATAAAGTAGATTTTTAGGCCCAACACCTAGAGATTCTGAGTTTATATATCTTTATGTCTGCACTCTGAGGCAAGTTTTATTATTATTCCCATCATACAGATGGGAAAACTGAGTTCAGAGAGGTTGCATGAGTTCCTCAACATTATTTAGGTAGTAAGTAGCAGAGCAAGGAGCAAAACTATAAAATACTAAGCCAGCTTGTATCATACATCTGTTATCCTGGCACTCAGGAGGCTGCGGCAGGAGGATCTTGAGTTGAAATCTAGATTGGGCTATGCAGCAAGATCCTGTTCAAAGAAAGAAAGAAAAATCTACAGGGTACTGAGTCAGCTGCCTCATGAAACAAGCAATACTTAGTAGATTCTATTTTCCTTCCTTATTTGTCTTCCTACTCAACATAACCCCACCCCATTTATAACACACACACAGAGGACCACTCTACTGCATCCTCTTAATTGTAAGTTAGATTTTTTTTTTTGAGACAGAGTCCTCCAGCTATCCATTCTTCTTCCTCAGCCTCCCAAGTGCTGGGATTACAGGTTTGTGGCATCCCACCCAGTTCTAAATTAGATCATTTAGGAGCTGTCCTATTTCAAACAACTTCCTTAACTCTTCTGAACTTCACTTTCCTCACTGTGGCGCAACAGTGCGGGTCTGCTGAGATTGTTGGGAGGATTAAGTGAGATAACATATTTACATTTATAAAACACTTGGTACATTGTTTGCACAGAGTAAACGTCCACTGTGCCTTTTCTTCCCCAGGCTAGAATTTGAAGGTGACCAACCAAGAGTTCTCGAACCCTTTAGGTAAAAGCAGTGGACGCTCATCTTTTTATAGATAAGTAAACAAAGAAGTAGAGCAAATTTGTCCAAAGTCAGAGTTCAAAGTGGAAACCTAGACCTCTTCCTTGACAGATCAATTCTTCAACTGAGTGATCTGCGTAAAGTGAGAGTTCTGGATGGTGTCCATTTTTATATTGCATGAAATTCAAGCCTGAATCCACCTTTACGCAAAACAGTAGCCACAAAGACATCTAGCTAAGGAAAAAGTCCCTGAGTCTTGTACTTGGCAAGGCTAGGCGAAGCCAGAGAGGTTTTCATTGGCAGAGTGAGAAGTTTTGCTTTTCACAATTAAATTTCAGGGGACAAGGCAAAGATCTCTGGCCAACATAGCTGGAGAAAGAACTAGAAGGGCATGCTGAGTTCTTTCTAAAAGAAACCTGACCTTTGGAGGTTTGCGTAAAGGCACAGTACAAATGCAGGGCCTTGTGCTAACTTGACTACCCACAGCTGCTCCACCCTAAAGAAGTTCTCTGCCAGGTGCACACAGCCCAATCGTGTTGTGACAGACGTGGTGCGTCCTTGAATTTGCGCACGTTTGACATCCCTGATGTCAGGCCTTAAGCCCAAGTAGATTTGCATACATGGATTTCTTCCTGGGCCAGCTGCCACCAGCACAGGCTTTTTAGGATGCCACTACTCCTTGAGAAACACAGTTCTCCTGCTCCACTCCACGTTAGCTTCTAAGAGAAGCAAATCCTGAACGTCTCTCATTCAATTTTTTCCCCTAGTTTTATCTGGAGAGCCTCTAAGAACAAACCGAGTGCTTCCTGCAATTCCAAGTCAACGGGGACAGGGCCCGCCAGCGGAAGAGCGTGACCGTGCTGTCGACCCCACCCATGATGTGGAAATATAGATGACATGTAATTTCAACTCTCAAAGGGCGAGATTACTCTAGTTTAAAAGAACAAAGACTATTAGTAAGTGAATTCTACAAGCCATTTACGGTTTTATAACTCAAGATTCCTTATTCTGAATAAAAATGCTTCCTAAATAAGCACTTAGAATCTGTGAGTGTGCGTACGTTATTAAATTTGTGAGTTTCTGTGACTTCTCCATGCCATAATTTGAAAACAAGACGTGTTATTAGAGGGAAACTTAGCTCTGTTCAGTTTTCTTTCTTTCTTTTTTTTTTCTGTTCAGTTTTCTTTGTGACATATTTGCTGTTTTGTCTGTTTGTTTCCTGGATAATTTTATGTTTTCTTAGTGTATGCTTTGCTGAGTAAAAAACAAGGAAAGGACACCGCAGTCTTGTTCTTCAAGTTTATCGTTATTCTACCTTGGACTGACAGAACTTCATTAAAGTAAAAGTAATAAATTCCTCTAATCAATCACAGTCTACGACTTCTGCAAAATATTTTCTAATATTTCAGTTCCTGGCGTCAGCCCAGTCACTCCACAAGGTTTATGCCTCTGTTCTTTGATTATTTCCACGAATGTTGTTTGCAGGTACGACTGCTTATTCCAGTAACGAGAAGGTCGTGTGAGTTAGCAGACCCTACATCCTAGCCTAACAGAATCAAATAGACATTCCTCACATATTCCTCAAACACTCTGCCTAGTTAAGAATTCTCTTCTCTGTTTCAAAACATTTTTTCTCAAGACCTTTCCAAACTTAAGACATAGCAAAGTTCTCAAAGACTTCTTCAACTAACTGTAGATCTCTTTACTAAGATGATTGTGGGCTGTGCAGATTGATTTAGGCTAAAGGCCTTGTAAAAATTTAAGGTTTAGAACATAAGATTATGGTCACACCATATCATTTCTGAGTCTGCCTGTTTTATAAATAGGGCAAGTATAACATTTGCTGCTTTATTTTAGTGTTATTCCTTTGGAGAGGTCAGACTCTACCATTTACTAGGTACAAGCTCTTTTGGGACCAAATACCATTCTTTGGTTTGTATGTCTAGAAACTCGTACAATCCCTGGAACAAGGTAGACAATCATTTAATTTTTTTCAGGAGGGAAGGAAGTAGAGAGATGGAGAGGGAGTTGGCAAAGGCAGGAGATGTAGGAAGTGATACTGAAGAGATCACAATCCCATTTTGGTAATGATGGTTGACTGAACCAGAGATTGTAAAAAAGAAAATCTATGAATCAACCTCTCATGCTGAGCAGTAGCTAGAGGGAGGGTAAATCCTGATGCAAATAGAAGACAGAGCTTCTGAAGGGTTTCCTGTTTTTGTTGTAGTGTGTGGGCTGTTTTTGTCTTTGAAGAATAAGTCTTTGTAAGCATCAGACTGTTAAGCTGCTTGGTGTGTCTTCTTCTAAATCAATGTCCACCCATGAGTCTTGCCCTACACTGCCTAGTTAGTCAGGGTAGGCTAGCTTCTGCCTCAGTAATAAACAACCCCCAAATCTCATTGGCCAACACAACTTGTTTCTCATATGCAATTCATGTCCCAAACCAGGTGGCAGAGTTGGCTGACCTAGAGTCCATCCTGACATTTGCTTCCTTAGAATGAGACAAGTCTCATCATTTGCCAAAGCAAAGCACGTGAACATGACTAACTTCAAAGGAGGGAAGGGTACAGAAATGTAATCGTTCCATAGACCTATAAAGAGGAGAATCGGAATATTTGTGCATTACAGAAAAGATCACTGCACTAACCAAACTTAGGTCCTGACTGATCATTTAAGGACATCAATATGCCCCCCCACTAAGTGGGTAAAAGCAACTTTTTAAATTTATTCAGCTACAGAAAAAGCCACCATCCTTTTAACACTTGAACTTATTTATACACACAAAGAATTTTCCAGTGTTGGGCCTATGCATCTGGCAGAACCCATCCTTTGTTTAAAGGGATGCTCAGACATCTATGGCATAATGGCCAAATTTAACACACAAACTAATCTTGATATATCTAGACCCATTGATAAAACAGTATAACAATAAGAATGACTGACTGTATCAGGCATACATTCACCTTATTCTAAGGTGAATTTAAGCCAAACCCCTATAAATCTTTCTGACATTGGAGCACTCAGCACACCTGTTATCAGATGTGCCCACACCCAATTCTAGGTTGTCTACTATCTTTCTATCTTTCCTTTATTTGCTTTACAAATAAACTTCTTTGTCTTTACCTCAAAGTGTCCTTCAATTCTTTTTTGCAACCTCATGAACCCAGTACCCAAACAGTTAGAAGCCTCCTCCCTTTTGGAGACCTCCTCCCTGGAGCCTCACCAGTTCCAGTAACATGAAGCACTATGTCTTGTGTCTTAAGAGACCCCAGAAGAGTTGTGTGTTAAAAGTATATTCCTCAGCTTGGAATATATATTGGGAGGTGGTGGAAACTTTAAGAGGTGGAACCTAATGGGAAGTCTTCCAGTCACTGGGGGCATGCCCTTCCAGTGCTCTTCTCTCTCTTTCTCTCTCTCTCTCTCTCTTTCTCTCTCTCTCTATCTCTCTTTTTCCCTATCCCAGACATGAGATGAGAACCTGGTTGCATCATGCACTCCCCCCATGATATTCTACCATGCCACAGGCCCAAAAGCAAT